TGAACGGATGTATCCCCCGACGGATGAAGTCGTCGAACATCCGGAACAAACTGCTGCGCATTAGCATGTTCGATCGAGCGAAATCACGAGGCTTTACAAAAGGGCACGGGACCGCGTCGAATTAAGGGCCGTAATGAAAAAGCGATTCCGGGACACTCGTCTGGCCTGGCCACGCCCCGAGAAAAAGGATTCAACGTATCGGTCGCCGGGCTGAATGCGGTATAAATTGCCCGACAATAAAGTCCCATTCCCCTCCCCTCCCCCCGTGGAGAGCCGGCCAGATTTTTCGTTTCGACCCCGTGCGGCGGACGAGTACAATGGGGGATCCTGTTTGCGAGCCCTCGAATAGTAGGGGGTGAAAGTCGAGGAAAGGGTGAAACGCATTGTCGTTGGACCACCATCTTCCACCGAAATTCGGAACGAAAACGGATTCTTGTGCGCCTATTTTCTCGATTAACCCTGTAATTTGTCGCACGCAGCACGAGTTTCCATTCTTATTGAATCTTGTTCCTCCTCCTCCTCCTCCTCCTCCTCCTCCTTTTATCGAATGACGAATAAATTAATTCGGCGTGAATTTGATTTAACGAGGTGTGGATGGAGAAAGGATGGAGATAGAGATGGAGGGATGAGAAATTAGAAGGCGCAACAAACGCGAGCTCTTTATCGATCAGAAGCCCGAACGCTTAACTTCGCCCGACATCGTTCCCAACTTTCTCCTTAAGACTCCTAACATTATTATCAAAGTCAATAGTTTGGCCAACTATTCGAACAAATACCCTTATGCTGTGTAATCGAAGGGGGAATGAGACACGAGACAGGGGGGAGAGGATCCCCCCAGGGGTAAGATGATAGAGAGGGCCAAGGCGTTTCAGAGAGGGTCACTTTTCCCTTCCCTGCTCGTTTTATCGGCCCGACAAGATTTGCGATCGCTTTATTAAAAGTTCCAGCTGCTGCCTGCCTCCTCCCTCCCTCGATCGACGATGCGCCTCCGGTGAAAGTTCATAAACTCGATATCCTTATACTTATTAGCGGCGGGGTAACAGGAGAAAGACAAAAATGAGCGGAAAGAGCGATACCTCTTCTCTGTAAAACTTTCCTCTCGATTCGAGCTTAACGAGCTCCTCCTCAGCGATGCGAATAAATTCTAATACTTTCTTCTTCCCTGCTATGAAAAAAAAAAAAAAAATAAAAATTCTTTCCATTTTTTGCAACTTTTATAACGCTCGCGTTTCGCCTCGATATCTCTTAATGGTTATTTGTACTTTTTTCCTCCTGATAACAAAGAAAAATAGAAAAATTCTCTCCAATTTTTCTGTCTCGATAATTTGACGAGTTTTTACTCTTGTTTCTCCTTTTTAATAAAAAAAAAAAAGAAAGAATAAAAATACTTTGGATTCTTGCAATTGTCTCGATATATAATAAGTTCAACTGGAACGAAAAATAAAAGATTCTTTAACATTTTGTAACATCCAAGCAACGTAGTTAACATTGATTCGATTAAAAAAACGAGCCATCTGGTTGTGAAAACGACAATGAAACAGCATAATGCTCGGTGTGTTCCCCATTCATCGGGATCGCTTTATCGTATTCCCATCGTTGATTTATTTTCCCGGGGACAATGCCGCCATTATTCAATCCGAATGCAATGCCGCTCGATGGAACGGTGAAAAATACCGCGCGTATCGCATATTTTTAAGCATAGCGGCCCTCCATCGACGTTTTACTCCGATTTAAAAGCCATGCGCGCGAATCTGCCACGTATTTCGATCTCTAGCGTGGCTCTAAAATAACAAGTTTTCGAACGATAAAAAATTGATAGCTTCGATCGTAAATTCCTCGTCCCGTTGAAAGAGATAGCGTGACAAAATGGCGCAGAGGCCAGGGTCACGGGCTTTGATGCTGGAAACGCATCATCCCCTTCCTCCGAGGGATGAGGAAGCATCGATTTATGTCCGCGTTCCACTCTTAATGTGTGTAAATTCGCGATCCCTGTGCGACGCGGTTAATGAGGCGTCGATGCTTGAAACTCGTAAAGATTAACGATCGTCCACCACCGTCGCATTCTTAACTTTACCGCCTTTGTTCCATCGAATTCCTTCCTTCATTTCATCCGCAAATAGTAGTATTTCCATTTCAAAATACAAAGTGTTCCCCGTACGGATGATTTTAACACTTTAAAGTCATATAATAATTTGCGTTGAATCGCGCGTTGCGTGTATTGAAATGAAAAATATTTTAGATCCGTGTTGTTCGATCGTTTCTCCTTTCTTCGTTATGTAACATTTTCAGGTTACGTAACGTTCGTCGAAAAAATGAATCGCTATTCGCGATATCTTTCGCGAATATTTTCGTCTCGAACAATGTACAATTTCAAAGTACTATTAGTTATCCAATTTTTATACTATTTCTTTCCTGCAAAATAATTTTTTTCAAACGAAGAACTACGACGTAATTTACAATTACAATCTGTTTGAAATAATTTAAAAACCAATTCGAAGAGATCGATGTAATCGTTATTATATATACCTCTATTAATTTCGATGGTGGATAGAAATGAAAAGGGGTATCTGGGTCACGACATAACGCGATCCCCTATGCCACGATTAATCCGGCAGATATTTATTTTCGGGGTCATTACACCGATAAGATGTTATTGCTCGGCGATCCTCGCGGATGCAGGGGGTGGTGGACCACATTTGCGGCTCCTGCGGCGGGTGTACATCCGTGTCGCGATGCATACGCGCGATGCAGACGATGCGGAATGCGGCATGCGGCGCGACACAGGGCCGTACGCGGCACGCCAATTACCCCGCGGAAAGGACGTTTCTAATCAGCCTGGTTCGTTAATCCGAATTGCGGATTCCCCCGCATCCCCATTGTTTTCCGGATATTACGGGAGCGGAACTAGGTCGGTGCTTGCACGCGTGCCGTTTCGATGGATGAAACTTTGGAATCTTGCTTTTTCACTGGATTCTTTATGTTTCGTTAAGAAACATAAAAACGTATAGATATTGAAATTACTCGATATTTTTCTTTGTTTTAAGAGTTCGAATTAAAATGGCGAAATTATCTGGATATTTATATTTTTCCAAGTATAAGAATTATTTGAAAATTTTGATGCAAGAAATCTTTCTTATTCTCAAAGATGACGAGTGAGAAAATACTGTTCTTCGTCGATATACCGACATGCTTCTTCTTCTTCATTTCGTGTCCTGTGTGATGGGCAATTGGATCAAGTATAAATGAAAAAAAATGTTTTATTCTCTCTAGAAGTTTAGAATCTTAGAGGAAGTATCTAGGAAAAGATAAGGACGAGTGGAAGGGCATTTACGATGGTAAATTGAACGCGTGGCGATAAATAAGGGCGCAAAGTGGTGTACAATTAAAGGACATAAAGCTGTCCGCGGGTCCCACGATCCGCAATTAAGAATTTTGTCATTTGACCGGCGCGTAGAGGTTGCGTTATAATTTGCCCCATAAATAATTCATGCGCTTCCATGGCCTGCTATTACGGTGGGCGAACCAGGCGAGGGGGTTGCGTTGGACGAATTATGAATATTCAGCGGAGTTCGCACGTCCTACGTTTCTCTCTGCCTGCCTGATATCATATTAATCCTCTCTCGAGACCCGATCCAGAAATTGCCCCGAAACGAATTTTTCTTTCGATCGTGGAGCTCGAGAGAATCGTGTCATCGCAAAGAGCGATGGAACGTTGGGACGTGGTGGGTAAAAACCCACGTGAAAGAATTTTGTTTCGAAAGGGGGAAAAGCCGCTGGAATTAATGTATATGTATGGGTGTATACGCGTTGAGAACGGGGATGCGTAATTGCAAAAAATGAGATTGTTAAATAAAACTCCATCTAGCAGAGTTCGGTGAAAGTAAAGAGCGAAGAGAAGCTATATAGAATAAAAACATATGAAAAAGTGTATTTATGCATCATCAGGAGAAAATTTGGTACAGAAAAGAAAAAAATATGTAATATTTTCTGCTCGTCTAAAGAAGACTTTGCATTAAAGATTTTTCATTTCAAAGAAATTTAAGAGGATTTTGTTAGTGTTTTTTTTGATTGATACTTTTTTTTTACTATTCAAGAAGAGATCAAGTGGATATTTTTTTTTTTCAGAAAATATATTCGAACGTGAATGAGAATGTTATATTGTTACGAGCATCGTATTATCTACGTGATAAAATACATCGTCACGTTAATTTCAATTTCGAAAACGGTAAAGTAATCCCATTTCGAAATGTATAGCTTTCAAATCTGTCAGATTTCCATTTCACTCGCTCATAACTCAATTTTCCGCCCGATTTTATTATTCGCCTCTCATCAAACTCCAACTACATTATCATCGTCTGTCGATTTCAATTGATCGACTTTAATTCCCCACGTATATTACGCGAGATCGCCGGTATAATTGTTTACATCCAACCAACTAATTGAAACGCGAAAATTATGTAGAATCGATAAATCTCCTCCCGTGTTCTCCATAATTATTCGCGCTCCCCGTCCATTCTCGATTAACTGGAATTGTTACATCTCTTACATATTCCTCCTTAAAAAAAAAAAAAAAAATGAAATTATCACAATGACAAATATTTAACGTAACGATTAATCAAATAGACAAAAATCAGGAGGAAACATACTTTGCCAAATTTTTTTTTTCCTCTGAGCTGAGAAGAAGAAGCCTCAGAAAATCGAACCGTGGATAGTTCAGTTCCCTTTAACTCGAGCCTCGAGGGAAATTGGAAATTTATCGTGAAACGAGAGATCCCGATAAGTTTTCACGTGTGCAATGTACATTTGGATGGAAGTTGGGACTCGAAGTTGCTTCCAAGTTTAGCTCGAGCGTTGTAAACAGAGGGAAGCGCATGCTAACCACCATGATAGTGGATTCCACCTTCTATCTCTTCCGGAGGAAACTTCCTCCTCCTCCTCCTCCTCCTCCTCTTCTTTTTCTTTTTCGTGGACGATAACTCGACCATGTGTCTCGTTCACAGGTGTCCAACGGACTCTTCACGTTCTCCACAACTCGGAGCAGCCGGCATCCGCGTTCGCGATCCTGGAGTCGGGCAACAAGGTGGTCCCGTTGATAGCCGATGGCCTGTTCGATCTGTTGATGTACAAAATCTCGAGCGTGTACACGAACAAGATGCAGAAGATGGAGTCGAAGGGGCCCAGGTTCGAGATTGGCGATTTTTGCGTGAAACTCGGAAGCGTGACGATTAATCAGAACTTCAAAGGCGTCCTGGTCGAGGTAAGGATGTTGAAAATTTTAAGTTTCTATGCATCTAATTTTATAATTATCCTAGGATATCGGCAAAATATCGTTCGATATTTCGCTTTTGATTCACGCTTTTAATAATCCGTGCTGAATTCTAGGAAGACTTTCTCAAATCTTTTCAATCACTCCTCGAAACGTGTATATATCTCGATTAAACAATATTGACAGTCTCCAACAATTTTTAATTCTTCCAAGGAGACACTTTAACCTCGTGAAATAATCCAGAGGATCGATATATTTTGAATCGATCGCTTTTAATAATCTCTGCTGAATTCTAGGAGGACTTCTTAAATCTTTTCAATCACTCCTCGAAATTTGTATATATCTCGTACGATTATACAAATTAAATTTTTAATTCTTCCAAGGAGACACTTTAACCTCGTGAAATAATCCAGAGGATCGATATATTTTGGATCGATCGCTTTTAATAATCCCTGCTGAATTCTAGGAGGACTTTCTCAAATCTTTTCAATCACTCCTCGAAATTTGTATATATCTCGTACGATTATACAAATTAAATTTTTAATTCTTCCAAGGAGACACTTTAACCTCGTGAAATAATCCAGAGGATCGATATATTTTGGATCGATTCCTTTTAATAATCCCTGCTGAGTTCTAGGAGGACTTCTCAAATCTTTTCGAAATTTGTATATATCTCGTACGATTATACAAATTAAATTTTTAATTCTTCCAAGGAGACACTTTAACCTCGTGAAATAATCCAGAAAGGACGGGTATCCCGCTTGTCTATCTCGTTTCTCTAGTTTCGAAACTTTTCGCACCGGTCGAGAAAGAACCGGGCAGAGATATTCGGTCGGATTAATAATCGCGGCAGATCTCCTTGATATTCGCGAAACTCGTTGAAGAGTCGACCAGCGCAGATTGTTGCCAAGGGAAATCTCGAAGGGTAGGTTAATTAACTCGCGATTATTAACTTGGAAATTGGCGAAATAGCCTGCGCTGTTTCCTTGTCGATCACGTGACGGGCTCGCAATATCGATTGACGGGTCCACCTGTCAAGAGACTTCGTACGTTGATCGCGAAATCGTGTTGATGAGCGAACGTGGAAGACGTCTTTTCAACGTTTGTTTCTCAGAATGAACAGATGAAAGTTGATGAAATGTTGTAAAGAAACGAGAGGAAGGCAGAGATCGTTGCTCAACATTTTTGTATGGAAATATTTGCGAATATTTTATTTTGGAGCAAATTTTCCTTAATTGGAGATTAATCAAAAATGTAAGAATGATAGAATTTCGTATTTGAATTCTGGATCTATCGATCCTTCGAACATTCTCATAGAGGAACCCGGGATCTTCTTCCGTTCGTTTCGTTCCATTTCGATCAAATTCTCTCGACGAAAGTGAGATTGAAAGAAATTCGATTTGGATCCAGAGGGGAGGGAAGAAGGATGTGTGACGAATGCGCGATTTGCTATTTATTAGGATTGAAACCGTTTTAACAGACGGTTAATAAAAATTGAATTTCGGTGAAACACGCATTCCTATTCTTCTCCTGTCGCACACGAGGATTTTGCTTCAATGCATTCGCACGAATTGGTGCTGCAACTGGTCGATACTTACAGGGAGAAGCGTTGCTCAAATTTATTCCAAAGTAGATACTAAAAAACTTACTTACTTTTTAACCACCCTTGGTTATTCACCTTTAACTCTCTTCTCTTTTTTGTTGCGATTAATAAATAATGCTATCCATTAGCAGTTAATATTGCTATAAAAATCTAAAACGTTACGTTTCATGATTGATGCAACGCAATCCTGTTCCTGATGTGGATGCAGAAGCGATCGTTTGTTAGCTGATAATCGAGTGATACAATCGTTCCGGCGATCGATTTGAATTAACGAATCTAGTAATCAAAACTAGTTAATACGCGCGCGAGCATTATCATTATTTATGGTGGTTATAAAGTCGGTGCGAGATACAACTCGATGACGATCGGGCCAACTGTCGCCGCGCTTGGTTTCCGGCGATCGGGGTATCCACCTCTGTATCCGGCTAAATGACTGCCAACTAAAATCTAATTAACCCCCATAAATTATTGGAGCCGATATTTTCGTCGAATTAAATGGAAATTCAACTTTTCTTCAAAGTTATATAATCGTGATACAAAATTTCTTAACGATGATTCTCGAGTAAGAGTAAAGTTTAACGATTTAAATTTTCTTTTTTCTCTCTCTCTCTCTCGTAGTAAAAGACTGTACACATATTCGAAGCCGTGTCGTATTCGTAGCCGTTGTTTCTCAAGACGAGAATGTTTCTCTCTCGGTGGAAAGAGTTTGGTGGTGGTCGACCGCGACAATACTACTAGGTGTAACTTCCGTTTCTACGAGGTGAAAAATGGCGCAGAGGAAGACGCTGGACCAATGGAAACGATCCTTGGACCGATCCAACGGCCATTCGTATCGGTAACAGCGCTGTTTGTACTCCACCAGGACGTCGAATACGTTACGATAAACCCCGATTCGCCCATTAATTTCCTGGGAGAAAATAGCGCGCCGTGGCACGACACTAACTCACGCCATCTTGCTCTCGCCTCTCTTCCTTTATTCCGTGAAAAAAGAAAGAAGAAAAAAAAGGAAAGAAAAATTACGAAATATTTTCCTTCCATGCTAATCTTTTTTTCTTTTTCGAAAAATTTATATTCGCGATATATTTTGTCGTTCGTTTAAATATCTAATTTGGAATTTTCCGCTATCGTCGATTTATTTATTCGATGAATACTACAAATCTCCAAAGATATATACATATATATAGATGGATACGTTTCTTCGAAGGGAACAAGAAGAAGACTAATTAATCGAATCAATTATAATTTTCGTGTGTTGATTCAATTTATTGGATAAGATGAAAAGGATTTTGAAGGAATCGCGCATATAGAGAAATATTTCGTACGAAGATATCGGGAATAATCAGAAAAGGGATATCGAAATCGGTTCCTTCGATCGAAGATTTTGAAGGAACCATGGCGAATCTTCCCTTCTCGAATCGATATCGATGAAAGCGATGGCCGATTCGACGCCTTTGACGCCACTGGGCGCAATCTCAACGATCAACGAACGCGAAGAAAAGAGAAACGAGCAGCGAAAAGGGCGATCGATCGATTCTTCTTACGATCCAATTCTTATCGAAACGGAGGACACGTTGTTTCATTCTCTTACACATCTTTCCACGCCATTTTCTATTATAATATTTATACATTCCATAGTCGATAATATTTTTCCTCGTGTCATTTTTTTCCACTCACAACGTGTACTATTTCTTGTGACGTTTTTTTTCTCTTCTTCTTAAATCGCATTTCTTTGTCGGTAAAAAAGTGTTGATACATTCGTGGAACAGCAAGTATCGATCGAAATTTATTTATTATTAAGTTATATTAAGTTATAGGACAATTTAAGTTTTCATTAAGCGTGAAACGAAACGAAGATAGAAATTCTTCTCTTCATCTTCTATATATGTATATATATATATATATATATATATAATCTGATAATCATACGAAGCGCTTTCGATCAGGGAATTACTTGCTAAACGAGTTCGTCGAACGAGAAAAGCGTGTCGATGGTTGACGTATGTGCTCCAAACCGAAAGTCATTCGAGCTCACGCTTTCTTCGTGGCGGACATATCCTACTATTGCCTGATGGCGCGGAACGAGACTTCCGATCGAATCACGTTTACAATTTTGTCAGTTTATTTCCATTTGCTTTCTTTTCCAATTTGTATTGGAAAAGATAATTTGTATGAAAAAAAGGAGAGATCCTCTATTTTGTGAAAAAAATTTTGATTTCTCACACGCACGATTCTGAATGTAAAATTGTTGTCTTCCTTGTTTTTATTTATTTGTGGATTTTTTAGGTGGAATATAGGCCTTGCGTCGTTCCCGGAAGTGCATGGGAATTGATCCGTGAATTTTTGCAAGGTTTCCTCGGTTCCACCGTGTCCAATCAAGCACCGCAATATTTACAGGTAATGAAAGGATTTCCAATGTAACGTTATAAAGGGAAAGAATATTTGAAGAAGGAGATAATGAAAATGGGGATGGAGATATGATTGATTTGTTCATTTTACAGAATCGAATGAACGATATTTATCAACCGTTGGATACGATACAACAATACTTGGAACATTTTGGCCAGTACAGGAAAGCTACCGGTGTAATTTAAAGAAATGATTTGTATCGACCAAATTAATATCGAAATATTAAAAAAATATTTCATTTCTCCCTCGGATGAAACGAACTATCGTTTCAATAATTTTATGTAATTACCTGTAGATCGAAGGTAATCCATTTCTATTATTAATAATTTTTCAATTATTAAATCTACATATGTAATCTAATATACTATTAATTGTTTTTTATATCTTTTATATATCTCTCTATATATAAGCTATCATATTATATCAAAAATTACATAGAAAAAAATATAAAAATGTAGAAAAAAATGTATAGAAAATTTCAAATATATATATAATAAATACAAAAATATACATATATAAAATATATGTACATATCAAATATATGACACATAATAATATGATAATCATTATTTCTTTATTAAAAATCCTTAAATATTATCGATTCATAAGCTGTTGCTACATTGCTATTTCTATTTTATATTAGAATTTGTAGATTAAATGTACTAGACAAAGAGAAGAAATAATAAGAAAAAGATAGAGATATGATAAAAATATTGAAATCAGCGCCATCTTCAGAGTGCCGCAAATGAAACGTATAAAGAAAGGATATAGAATAGAGAAACAAAGATAGAAATAGAATAAGAATTAACTGTTAACGCCATCTCTTAAGTACTAAAGACATTTAAATTTCAATATGTTTTAAAGAGATGTCGCTAAGTCCTAATTCTTATTCTATTTCTATATAAAAGAATTAACTGTTAACGCCATCTCTTAAGTACTAAAGACATTTAAGTTTCAATATGTTTTAAAGAGATGTCGCTAAATCCTAATTCTTGTTCTTTTTCTATATATAAAGAATTGACTGTTAACGCCATCTCTTAAATACTAAAGACATTTAAGTTTCAATATGTTTTAAAGAGATGTCGCTAAGTCCTAATTCTTATTCTATTTCTATGTAAAAGAATTGACAGTTAGCGCTATCTCTTAAATACTAAAGATATTTAAGTTTCAATATGTTTTAAAGAGATGTCGCTAGGTACCAATTCTTATTTTCTTATCTTATTCTATCTTTGAAGAGATATCTTTGGTATTCAAGAGATGGCGCTGATAGTCAATTCTTATTCTATTTCTATCTTTGTTTCTCTATTCTCTATCCTTTCTTTATATCCGTTTCATTTGCGGCACTCTGAAGATGGCGCTGATTTCAATATTTTTATCATATCTCTATCTTTTTCTTATTATTTCTTCTCTTTGTCTAGTACATTTAATCTACAAATTCTAATATAAAATAGAAATACTGTAGCAACAGCTTATCGAAAATAATTAATCGATAATATTTAAAGATTTTTAAGAAAGATTTCTTTATAAAATAAGTAAATAATGGTTTTTCAATTTTTACTTTATTTCTATCTTCGTTATTTTCTTATTATTATCTTTATATTTCATTTTCGATATTTTATATATGATATTGATTTCAATATTTTGTATCTATCTTTGTTCCTCTCCCATTATTTTCTTTCCTTGTCTGTATTTAATCTTCTTAAACAAAATTAAAAAAGTTTGTGATTTTTTTTTTTTAAAGAAGATTGTACATTTTTTATTTTTATATTATTTTATATTTACATATATTTCTATATATGTTATACATATATATACATATTTTATATATATAGGTGAATTTGTCAAATACAAATTTCAAAAATATTTTTATTTACATTATGGTTATAATTATTAATATTATTAGCAGTATTTCAGAACGCGGAACGCAAAATTTTATGTTATAGTAAATTTATTATACTTTTTATCTGTAATGACAATATTTTCGGCCATAGAAAATTTATAAAATTTTTTAGCGAAAAAGGTTAAGATTTTCACATATATTTTTATTAATTCTAACATCTTTTATAAATATTATTATTAGAATTTTTATTAAAATTGTTTGTATAATATATATGTTGTCATTTAACACACATAATGATTAGAATCTTTATGTAGATGTCTTTTTATAATTCTATTATTTTCATACGAATCTCAATTTTCAATTTTCTTATAGTTAAATTTTATCATAATAATCTGTTAACGATAAAATATTTCAATAGAATAAATATTATATAAAGAGAAAATGTAATTTGCATTATTCGGTTTAAATTTCAATTAAAAAATTATTATATCTTCAATAAATAAGAATTCTAACAAATGTAAATTATTCGATTTAAATTCACTTTTTATATTATGACGTTTTTCATTAATATTACGAATATTATTTTTAAAAGTAAGCATGGAAGAAATTCATTGGTCATCGGAAAATGATTGAACTTTGTACAATAAAGCGATTAAAGCGCCGTATTATACAGTTCCATGTGATCACTGACGCAGTATTACAGTACTTTCGACTTTCGAGATAGTAGTGACTCGGTTGTTTAAGGTATCGTATAAATTGAATGTATTAAGTAGTGAAGTTACAAAATTCCAATCAAATAATAAAGCACTACAATATACCGGACAAACGAATAATCATAATGGAGGTATTTATTTAAATATTGAAATTAATAATAAGTGAATTCATATCACAATTCACGTACACAATTCAATATAGTTTTTTATACTTTTAGATTCAAATATTGACCGCGAAATCATCAAAATTAATAGCAAATCTATCTGTAAGTAATGAATAAATAAAAATAAAATATTCTAATTTACTCAAAATTTACAATAAATTTATTAAATTATATTATTGATCAGTTCAGATATTTATATAATATATAATATATTTAATATTCAATACGTAATAATCTATGATAAAATATACATGAATCTGTAATAATGTACTTAAATTTAAATTTATAATTAGAAATTTTTTTTGTAACATGTATCTTTTTAGGTGAAATCTAATACAACTATACAAGAAATAAAGGAAGAATTATTTAAATTAAAAAAAGCACCACATATTCATAGACAAAGCTTAAGATTAGATGTTAAAGGAAAAGCTTTACCTGATTCAGAAAATTTAAAAAATTTATCAATTTCTAATGGAGGAAAATTATATTTCAAAGATCTTGGACCTCAAATTAGTTGGAAAACTGTATTTTTAGTGGAATATGCTGGTCCATTAATTCTATATCTATGGATATATCAGCGTCCATGGATTTTTTATGGTGACATAACTAAATCTAAAGTAGATGATAAAGTTCAGTAAGTTTATTTAATATATATTATAATAATCAATACATTCTTTTTGATAAATTTATATAAATTCAATGAAAAATTATGAAATTAAATATAATTTTAATATTGACTTTTTAAATATTTTTGCAAGCAAGTTCATTAGAATTTTTATTCTAAAATTTTATTATCTTTTCCACAAGTCAAATGTCAAACAGATAAATGATCTAATAGATATTGATAACTTATCTACATCACTTTTAACCTCTAAAAAAGTTAGATTTAAAGGATTTAAAATTGAAATAAAATTACTGGTGGACACAAAATCTTGAAATCAAACAAATACATTTGTATAAAGTTAGACTATCAAAACTTAAAACTTTAAAAAATATTGTTTCAGTGTGGCAGCCATTTGTTGGAGTATACACTATGCAAAAAGACTTCTAGAAACATTGTTTGTCCATAGGTTTAGTCATGCAACAATGCCACTGCGTAATCTTTTTAAGAATTGTTCATATTATTGGATTTTTGCTATGTATGTAGCATATCATGTGAATCATCCTTGGTATACAGCTCCAAAGCAATTTCAATTTCTTCTTGGATTAGTTATATTTGTACTTTGTGAATTGGGAAATCTAAGCATCCATTTAGCTTTAAGAGACTTAAGACCAGCAGGAAGTACTATAAGAAAAATACCACTACCCACTAATAATCTTTTTACTTTATTATTTAATTTTGTATCATGTCCAAATTACACTTATGAAATTGGTAGTTGGATTGGTTTTACCATTATGACTTCATGTCTTCCAGGTAAATATATTTCAAAAAAATTATTATTATATATTTTTTTCAATATTATCATATTTCTTTTCAATATATATATATATAATTATATTTTTTTTTCAGCTGGATTCTTTACTATTGCTGGTGCATATCAAATGACTGTTTGGGCAATAGGAAAACATAAAGCATATAAAAGAGAATTTCCTCAATATCCAAAAACTAGAAAAGCTATTATTCCATTTGCTCTTTAAATAATCAATTATTTCTAATATAATATTTTTAAATAAGAATACTGTGTTGGTAATTATTATTAAGACATTTATATTTCTTTGTTCTATTTTATTATTGATATTTTTACTGTTTAAATAAATAATTTATGGTAGAATATCATATGATATACTATATATTATAAATTTTTTTTTAGAAATTTTTTTATACATGATACGTGCATTTAAAAAGTTATTTTTGTTTCTAGTTCTTCACAAGGCATCTTGCTTATCAACTTATACATATCTTCTTTTAAAGCAATTATTATATTTTGACATTCTTGCATTTGAGACTTGTATTCAATTCGCAATTTTTCATGTCCATAACATGCTTCTTCCAATTTTTTCTTTGCTTCTGATGATTTCATATCTTTCATTTTGTAACCTAATAGACTTTCCATATGCATAATATGTTTTCTTGCATCTTTTAATTCTTCTCTTAAAGCATTTAACTCTGTAATTAAAATAATATTTTCTTCCACTGTTTTATCTATATCTTTACCATTGATTTCTTTGTCCTGGAAAACTTGTTTTCTAAGAGAAGCTATTGTTCTCTCTAAATGATCTCTCTGCTTTATAAATTCACATTGAGCATCTAAATCAGCTTTACGAGTACGCAAAAATTCATCGCTTGAACTATACTTATGATATAATTTTGTTATAGCAGTTTTTAACGCCTGTGGATTTTGCACAAGTCCCGAAGCGTCGAGCAAATCTATTCGTATTTTTTTCAAAAGTTGTTGACATCTTTTATTACGATGTATTTCATATTGAAGTTCACGCCTTGAAGCTCCTAATTTTTCTCTCAATTCATGTAACTGCAATTCTAAACTGATAGTAGTTTTATGTAAGTTTACAAGTTCTGTCTCCATATCTCGAATTTTCTCTTTAAGCTCTTTAATTTCTCGATCTCGCGGTTCTATTTGATTTTTCAATTCTATAATTTTGTAATTCAAAACAAATTTAAATTTTTCAAGTTCTTGATTCGTTCGCTTTAATTCGTATATCTGACGTTCTCTATCTTGAATCGTAGTATCTCTTTCATTTATTTCTATTTTTAGATCATCTTTATCTTTTTCCAATTCTTGAATGGTTTTCTGAAAATATCCGTATTCGTTCTGAAATCGTTGTACTTGTCTTCTCAATTCTTCAACATCTTTCAAACTAGATATGTATCTATTGCGTAATACTCCAGTCTCTCCTTTTAACCGTATATTTATCTGCTTTTCTTCATACAAAAATGTTTCATAATTTGTTTTCAATTCTAATATTTCTTTATCAGCGTCATCTTCTATTTGCGTCATCATTTGCTCATGTACTCGTATCTGTTGAATCATTTCATCTTGAGTTTCTTCTAATTGTAATTTCTTCTCATGAAGAAGACCCTCATATTTAGTTGTTGCTTTTTGTAATTCTTCAACACCATGACTTTCTACTTCTTCTAAACGTTTTTCATAATTTTGACGCATAAGATTCATTGAATTTTCAAGTTCTAAATATCTATCATATTCTGTAATAAGTTTAGCATTATAATTCGTTTCCATTTGTTTCATTGTGTCTTCATGTTCTTCTTTCATTTTAAGTATTTCTACATTTATTGTATTCAATTCGTTCTTGTGATCTTCTTGTAATCTATTTATTTTAGCTCTTAATTCTTCAATAGCTTCACAATAACCTTGATGTATATCTCTAACTTTATCATTATGTATTACTTCTATTTGACGCATTTTATATGCGTGTTCAGTTTCCAATTCTCTCATCCTAACATTCAAATCTATAATCGTTTGTATTTTTTCTTGTAGATCATCTTTATTAATTAATACTTCGTTTGTATATGCAATCTCTTTTCCAATTTTTCCTTTTCCTTCAGGATAAATTACTTTCCAAATACATAAACTACCATCTATACTAACAGATATTAAGTATTGTTCATTATAAGAAAGAGCAATCTAAAAAAAATAAAATGTCAATAGTAAAAATATCTTACATGTTTAGATCTTCTAATATGCCTATCTACCTTTGTAATATCAGCAGAATGAATATGAAAACTTAAAGACTGTATTGGTTCTTGTATTGGACATTTTATTGATAAAATGAAACCACCAGGACAAACAAAGAAGAAAGCTTGATCTTCTTTTCCTAATATCATAAAATATGCATTTGCATCCGGAAAATGATATTTTCGTATCTAATATGAATAATATATAATGTAATATATGTAGTTTTGTAATTAATGTATAATATATAGTTTTCTATTTTTTTTATAAAATCAATTTTATATTAAATTAAATGTTACCATATTCTCTTTTATTTCGTGTATAGTATTATCATCAGCAATACAAAAAACAACTTGTTCATCAGCAGAAAGAGCAATATCATGTAAAGTAATTCCTTTTAAAATTATCTCAGCAGAGCGACGACCAGTACTTGTATCCCACTGATAAATAGTACCTTCTGCACCTAATGTAAATAGTTTTGTATCTGTTTGTGACCATAATATTTTTTTCACTCTATTGGTATGACCCTTTAAAATAAATGTGTTAACAAAACCAATAGTAGAATAAACTTGTACAATATTTCCGTTAACAGCGGCAAATAAATGACCACCATGACTAAATTTTGCTGTATTGCAACATCTTATAGAAAATTCTTCCATAGGTAAAAAATCATCAATTAATATACTCATAAAACGTAATTTATCGCTAAAACCAATTAAACAAAAAAGACCAGTAGGATGCAAAGCTATTCCACAAATATCTTCTGCATATTGTTTATATAAAATTAAACTTTTTGATTCAAAATCCCACAATCTTACACTGTGATCAATTTGTCCACAAGTCATAAAAATTGATTTCCAAGCACATACAGAGATATCAATTATAGGTCCAAAATGCAATGCTTGACCTATAATTTTTAATTCTTGCGGTTGTGGATCTACATTTAAATCTGGTCCCCATAATCTTGCATAAAATAATTGAGGCCAACCAGTTGTAATTACTAAACGATCTATACTTAAATTAATATTTATAGTATTAACTTGATATAACTCTTCGTTTTTTTCTTTTGATGGTTGAGTTGGAATTATATAAATATTTCTTTTTATATATTTATGTGCACTTTCTTTTTCAAAAAGTATAATTGTTCTTCTCCCAAAGGCAAATGCAAAACCTCTTTGAAATGCAATTAAAGAACGAATATTATTTTCCCATGGTATTCGTTTTATTGAATCTAAGGCTATTAATGAACTAGTTGCTTGTATAACATATTCTTCACGAATTTTAAGATTCATAGATACTGTATCAGCCATTTTGTAAATATTTTTTAAATCACCATTTTCTAAATAAAGTATTCTACCATCCAAAGTTCCAAGCAATAATCTATCGGAATTCAACCAAGTCATAGAACATGTAAATATAGTATCTGCTTTAGAAAATCCATATGGCCGCCATATAGAATCAGAAAGAGTTAAGAACTTAAATATGCGTAGACCTCCAAGTGCAACTATTCCTGCTTCTGATGGATTACAAGATAATACTTCTACAATAGCTGATGGATCCTGAGGAATGCCTACTTTTAAACTGGATTCTACTTTTCCTTTTTCCCAATTGTAAAAAAGCATATTTTGATCAGGTTCTCCTGTAACTGCTACTATATATTTATTATCAAAAGTAAATTCTATGCAAGTAAATCTTGTTACATCAGAAGCATCATATGGTATTCCAAGAAGTTTTCTTCTTTTCAATGTTTGAAGATCATAAATAGATATTGTAGGTTTTTCTCCAACTTCACATATTGCAGCAAATTTCCTTTTTTAAAAAAAGATCAAGAAAGTAACATATAATATTATATTAAATAGTATTAATATAATAATAATAAACATTTACTTGTTATGTGCAACTGCAATTATATTTATTTGTTGTTTATCAGGTAATCGTATTAATTTTTGTTCATATTGGGGAATATTATGAATTGCTATTACATTTCCAACAGGATATAAGATTTCTGAATCCGAAATGTAATGGGCATTTGAAATTATATCAGTCTTCAACCCATAAATTACTCTACTTTGTAAAGAAGTAATCATTCTGAAAAATCTTTTTCTTTTTTTTTTTTTTTTAATTAAAAAATAAGAAAATAATTTTCAAATTTTATAAACAGAATATATGTACATATATATTTTTATGAATTTATACTCTTTTTGTTTGTACTCCCATAGCAACAAGCTAAATTAACATTCAATGCTGAAAATATCACTATATTTAATATATATATTTATAAAAATATAAATAATTTATTTATTTCATTAGATAACATATCGAAAAATTTTTATTTATAGTATAAATTACACATTTATTACTTTTAAAAAATTAAAAATTATAGATAAAACGCTAATACAAATATGATTAATCATATATTTTTACGTTCACATCAAATTGATTAATATTGAATAAAAAGTTTATAATTTATATTTATATGTATCTATGTGTGTTTTCATATTTATGTTAACATTTGTTCATAAATTTCCCGCCATTTGTCACTTGCAACTCTGTTCGGATTGTAATTTTAAAAGAAGTACAAAAATATTGTTCAGTATACAAAAAGATAACCTCTATATATTCAATATATAAACAATAATTATTAATATACAGAGTTTTAAAATATTTAAATTTTATAGTGCTAAAAGTTGCCTATATAATTTATTAAAAAATATATCTAAATAATTATTTATTTATAATAGATAATATTTTATTTAAAATATTTTAATTTAATTCCATTTTATCTGAATCCAAAAATTGCTATTTAATAATGAATTTATAAATTATTATATAAATAAAAAATGGCAGAAGTAAATCATGAAAATAGTAATAGATTTAAAACAAAATCTATTGATCATTCAGAAACAGAATGTTGCAAAAATTGTGAACATTTATGTGATCCATATACTAAACCAGCATTATGTTGTAATGAATGTTCAGGAAAGATTCATATTGAATGTTTAAAACGAGGAAGTGTTCCAGCATCATTTGTAGGAGATGTATTTTTTGATTTAACTTGTTCTCATTGTAGTCCTTTTGGTGAAGAAACAGTAATACGCAATAGAATGCCTTGGCTTAATGTCATTATATTAACATTATATAATTTACGTGAAAAATCAAGTGGTATTAGCAAAAGAGGATATTTTCATTGGAAATCTGACATTAGTACATTTGTTGATCGTAATTGGGACTTTTTATTTAAGAAGACAGTGTAGGATATTATATGAAAATATTAATGGTTGAATTATTTTAATCAAAATTAAAATTTATGTACAATTTTTATGTTATATAAATTATAATATATATAAATTAATTTTTGTTATTTTCAGTAAAAGAAAAAAGAATTGGATTGGTACAATATCTGGAACTCTTTCTCATTATAGTGGAATTTTTTTTAAATCAGGAACAATAGAATTAGGAGAATCAGGATGGTGGAGATTAATAGATAATGATCCACCTGAAGTTCTTATTGCTAAAAGTAATCATATTATATATGATTTCATATATAATTATAGAATATTTATAATTAATAATATTTATGATTTTAGATGAAAAAATGATATTAGATCGTAAAAAACAAGTTAATAATCAAATAAAAATAGCAAATAAATTACACAATAGTCCAACTCCATCTGAGTCAAGTATTTCAGTTGGAGAAGATAATGGTTATGGAAATGGATTATTAAAAAATCAAGAATATATTACATATTCACAAACAGATGTTCAATCTGATAAAACATTATTTGATCTTTTGCTTGAAGAAGATGAGTTAAATAGTATGTACTTATATAATATAAATATATAAAAAATTATAAAATTATTATAATATTTTTCAATTAGATTTAGAGATTGAAGATGATATGATGTCTACTGAACAAAGTGATACACCATCATTGTCTGATTTAATAAGAGATTGTCAATATCAGACTAATAATTTCCATTTTTCACAATTACTGGATGATTTTACATCTGAATGGACATCCACTACAGATACTGTATCAGAAAATCTTAATAATATCAAAACAGATCAGATAAAGGAAGATGAAGAAGAACATTATGAAGAAGATAGTAATGATAGTTTAAGTTCTGTGCAAGAACAGTTACCAGTTTCTTTATTTAAAACTACACAACAACGTCCATGGCCCTGGCAAAGAAATTATAATATTAGTACGTATATTTTTTTATTTATAATATAATAATCAATTTTCATTAATTATTTTTAAATTTTATTTTAGAAGAAAAAATTCCACGTATGACACATCAACAAGAAACATATTTATTACAACAAGTTAATAAATCAACTCTAAATTGTGCATCTTCAGAAATCAGACGATTTTATCGAAAAATAGCTGTAAGAAAATTAAAACGCGAATATGGTTTACCACTACTGGATATCGATAATTTTGGCTGTAAAGCAGAAATACTTGATAAACCTTTAAAAGATTCTGGCCGAGTTTTGGATCGATTTTTTGGCGATGATTTAAGTTCGTTTGAACAAAGATTACAGGGATATAATGAACCCACATCTGTACATAGTCCATATACAAATAGACTTTTGAAACCATTCATAAGAAGAGACACTTCATGTCATCCTTTATGGTTGAAAGTAATGGAAGAGCTTCGTATTAAAGTCAATAAATCTAATCCAAAATGGAAAACGCCACCAATAGCACCAATTGATTATTCTTATGTGAGACCACAACACATTCCCGCAATTAATAGCTTATGCAATCAATTTTTCTGGCCTGGTATTGATTGTGAGTAAATATAATAAATATAATATAATAAACATAAAAAATATAAAAAAATTATCTCTCATGATTATGATTTTTGAAAGCATATTTTAATATACATTATATATTTAAGGAAAAAAAATAACAAGATTTTACTTTTTCAGTGACAGAATGTTTGCAATATCCTGACTTCACATGTGTGGTTTTATATAAAAAGTTAGTCATAGGATTTGCAATTTTAGTTCCTGATGTTAGTTATAATGAAGCTTATATATCATTTTTTTTAACTCGTCCCGAATGGCGTAAATCTGGTATAGGAACATTTATGTTGTATCATTTAATTCAAACGTGTATGGGCAAAGATGTTACGTTACATGTTTCAGCTACTAATCCAGCATTAATTTTATATCAGAAATTTGGTTTCAAAGTGGAAGAATTTGTTCAAGATTTTTATGACAAATATATGCCACCAAATTCACGAGAATGTAGACATGCATTATTTTTACGATTGAGTAGATAAATTTAATAATGTATATCATACAGCAAATGTACATAATATTTATTAAATTAATTTGAATTTTTTGTAATGATATAAATATAAATAATAAAATATTGATTTTTCATAAATTAAATTATATCAATTTTCCTCAATAATGAATAAATTATTAATGAATTTATTCAAAAATTTATTTTAATATTTATTTTAAATTTCATTTACATAATATTATAATGTAGTTTTATTATAATTATAATATTTATAAAAAAAATGTGAAAAAAATTTATAGAAATAATTATTACTATTAATATAATAAAAAATTTTGATATAATTTTATTTTCAATAAAAAATTTCAATATTGAAATATATTTATATATCTTATAATATTTAATATTATAATATTATAAAATTTAAATAATAGTGAAAATAATAAAGTAAATGATATTTCTTTATAAAGTATTTTATATACTATAATTAATTTATACTATAAATTAAGTTATTTGTAATATTTGAATATCATTAAATTTCATGAACATAATATAGTATTTATATACACATATATACATAGAATTTTCATTGTAATATCTACAATTATATTCAACGAATATATAAAAGTATTTAGAATATTCAGCTATATTCAGATTGTAATGTAAACGATATCTTTTTTATTTATTTCTATACTAGCATCAAATATAAAAATTACCATTATTTGATAAAGAATATCAACTATTTTGTAAATATGTAGTAATAATATTAACGTATTATTTATTTATTATTGTATCAATATTAAAATTCATAAAGCGCGGGTAAAATTGTCGGTCACATTTTCGATCTACAACTAGGAGTGGGGGCTACTGACGTCATTGAATAAGTGCTACGGAACTGCCGTCGACCTATTCTCGAAAGTTCCGGAAGCCACTAGAAGGAAAGTTTGTATATATGGACTGCACAGCTTACGCGACACTTTAGTACGTGAAGAGAGGTGTTAAATGTTGTTTCGGGCCATCTGTCAGAAACAAATATTTCATTAATTTGCATAACGTTTTAAAAAATTTAGTGAATTAAGTGCCAATTGGATTTTATAATTTATTAAATAACCACAAGAACAATAAACGGTAAGTGTTGAACGAAAAATGTAAACGATATTCCGTAGGAATCTTCGATTCTGTCAGATGTTTGGGTGAAAAAAATGGGCGATCTCATCAGTAATGGGAAATTATTCGCGTATATTCAATGCATGATTTTATAAGACATAAATGCAGATTAGGGCAGCCATCGTGGATACTGTAGAATTTATTTTTACGCTGCTCAAAATCGTTGCACGTTTGCAGAAGCAGACACGTTCGTCGCTTATATGCGCTCATCATTGCCAGAAATAGATATCGGTGAAATACATTCGTGGGTGTGCGTTAGAGAGACATCCATATTTCTTTCCTCGAGAATATGCGAAAAAATGGCAGATCATTGGCAATCGTAATTAGTATCTATATGTTATTATTCTACTTGTGTTTCAATCAGATGAATGCAAAATGTTTCATGTTTTTATGACTTTAATTTGTTAATAAATGCAATCTGATCTAAAATCATGTTTTCAAATTTTGAAAATTACATAGTCTTTTGATACTTGTCTTTCGATTGCAAAATCTATACAATAATAATAATATTTATACTAATTACGTTGACGTTTGATTATATCGTGAAAGTTCTCAGTAAAAATTAAGAATTTAGTACAACAATTTTTTATAGTGATCTTGTTAATTTTATTTACTTCTGTTGATAAACTTTAATTTTATTGTGTAAAATTGTGCAAATAAAAAAATAAAAGATGTAGATGTAAAATCGTAAATTTGATTTATATTCGTAATAAAAAATATATCTTCTATATGCGTTAAGAATCTGTAAAAGATGAAAACAGTTCTTTGTGCAGTATGACGTCGAAATCGTACTTGAAACTTCAGAAGCAGCCGCACTTTTATGGTCACGTTGCATTAAATATCGTTTCCCAAATCATCAATATAGAGAATTATACGATATAAAAAAACATGTTTGTAATGATGTAATATTTCGTTTAGATCACGCTTGTAGTATATGTAATGATTGCGATGTATGTAGCAATATAATTTTAAATAAAATGCGTAATAGGTATAGAAATTAAATCACAATAAGCTGCAGAATATTTTATGAATATATTTATAGTTTAATATAGAAAATATTTTAAATATTTTAAATTGAAATAAATGCTCATTTAAATATATAATGATTTAGAAAAATACCATTAAAAAAGATTTAAAATGTAATTTAATAATTGTAAATGAAGACGAAAATAAATTTATTATTAAAAATATTTGTATGTTTTATTTCTAGAAAAACAATGTATCAATTTTCCTTTTATTTAAATTGTTGCAGATCAGTGACCAATGGGGAAAGATTACTATAAAATATTAGGCATAAACAAAAATGCCACTGATGATGAAATAAAAAAAGCATATAGAAAATTAGCATTGAAATATCATCCTGATAAAAATAGAAGTGCTGGAGCAGAAGAAAAATTCAAAGAAATAGCTGAAGCTTATGAAGTTCTTTCTGATGCTAAAAAGAGAGAAGTTTATGATAAATTTGGAGAAGAAGGATTAAAGGGAGGAGCTGGGTCAGCAGGAGGAGGTGGTGGTGGCACAACATATACTTTCCATGGAGATCCAAAAGCAACTTTTGCTCAATTTTTTGGTTCTGCTAGTCCTTTTCAAACTTTCTTTGAATTTGGAGGTCCTTTAGGAAATCGAGTATTTAGTTTTCATGATGATGATATGGACATAGATGATCCACTTGGATTAGGAGTTGGTCCCCAACGTCAAAGTGGCCAAAGCGGAGCTTTCAGATCACATTCTTTCAACTTTGTGGGACCAAATTCTGGTAGAGGAGGCAACAAAGATCGTGCTCAAGATCCTGCTATTGAACATGACTTATATATCAGTTTAGAAGAAATTTTACGTGGTTGTACAAAGAAAATGAAAATTTCCAAACGAGTTGTACAACCTGATGGTTCTACCAAAAAGGAGGACAAAGTCCTTACAATTAATGTCAAACCAGGATGGAAAGCTGGTACAAAGATCACTTTCCAAAAAGAAGGTGATCAAGGCCGTGGGAAAGTTCCAGCAGATATTGTTTTCATCATTAGAGACAAACCACATCCTCTTTTTAGAAGAGAGGGCAGTGATATAAGATACACTTGCAAGCTAAGTTTAAAACAAGCTTTATGTGGTACTGTTATTGAAGTTCCTACGCTTATTGGCGAAAAAATCAACTTAAATTTGACTAGAGAAATTGTAAAACCTAATATGGTCAGGAGGATTCAGGGTCATGGTTTACCATTCCCAAAAGAACCATCAAGAAAAGGTGATCTCCTGGTTTCATTTGACATCAAATTTCCCGAAACATTATCCCAAAGTGCAAAGGACATATTATACGATACTCTGCCGAATTGAACACGCAAAATTGAAAAAAAAAATGGATAATTACATGTCATCACAACAACAGTTCTCTATTCATCCTAATTGACGAGAGTGTACGTTCTAGTACATAATGCGTGATTAGAGAGCTATAAAAAAATATTTGTTGAAGCGACGCAAATAATAATTTTATTTTATAGTTAGGAAAATGTGATTTTCCATTAGTCAAATGTAAAGTAATCACGTTTTCGGTTTAGGCAAATTTATGTTCATTAGAATGAAAAAAATGGATCATCAATGCTTTAATAGCACAATGGAACGTATTTTGCCTTTACACGCGGGAAGAAAGATCCTAAATAGCAATTAAGATTGAATATATTTACATTAAGTTATATTTAACAGAGTGAATTTGTTATAGCAACTCTGTATGAATGCGATCTGCTTCATTTTGTTCATTTTGTACATTCAGAGTATGTATTATGTATACAAATATATTTGAATGAATGAATGTAAGTTTATGTATGTGTGTGTGGTCTGTAAGTATTCTTTAATGTAAATGTATACAGTGCGTCTGATTTGTATGAGCAGAAAATCTGCAAAAGCATGACAAATTATACCACCATCATTTTGTTCAACAATCATATTTCTTTTACTTTCTTTGATTTTTATACATCATGATTCGATTTGTTATTGTTTTTCAATAAATTATTATGATAATATTAATATAATAATAAAAAAGGAGGATTAGTATTTAAAAACTCTAAAGAAAATTGTATTTTGCTCATTAATTTTGTTCAACTTCATAATGATTGGTGGAAGTTTTTGTCATATAAAAGCAGTGTATAAACAACTATTTGTAATATCGAGCTGATTTTCTTATGTAACGCGTCTTCTTAATTTTAATGGTTGGTTAATTATTTGTACGCTAAAATAATATCGATACAATTAAGTGACACAATTCTGTATTTTTATTCATTCCTTGTCTCATGATCGCTCCTATAGTGGATATAACATCGAGACATTCTTAAAATAGATAGCAAAGTGACGTCATTATCCTATCTCCCAGAGATACTTTCACACAACCGTGTAGTGAAACAGTAGATATATATATAATTTTCTGGTATATTGATATATTTATATTTATATTGCACGTATAAGAAAAAAAAAATGATTGAACAATAATGAGAAAATTATAATAAGAAAAAAAAAAGAGAAATGTATATTTGATGTTAATAATTTGAAATCTTTGTAATAACTGTTTATCTTAAACATATGATTTCATATTATAATCTTATCAATTATAATTAAAAATCCATGTGATAGAAAAGTACTTAAATTAAAACTTATCAAAATGAAGTAAAAAATTGAGATCAATAATAAAATTTTTAATAAGTAATTATTATTGATATTAAAAAAAAAAATAAAAATCATGAAATTCTATTACGATAAGAAAGTCATTTACATTTTTTTTTTATCCCTTTTTTATATGATAATTTGGAAAATGTTTCCTCTGTTAGTTTAATCAATTATATGTAATCTTTATCGATCCATTCATTCTCATCTTGTGGAAATCTAATATTGTATGGAAGAGAAGTCAAGAAGGGTAATCCATCAGGCCTCAAATTCAAATATTTGATTACTTGATCATTAAGACGAATTTCTCTTGTAAGCGCATTTTGAGGATCGAATTCTGCATCGTCGTTTTGATGGTTATTCAATTTTTCAAAATGAAAATTCTCGGGAAGACAGTGATGTTGACGACAAAAATAATTTTGTCCCTCTTCAGTATGACACCATGTACCATCTGGAAAGTATGGGTCAAGGCCAAGGTCATTTAATTCCACACGCGGTGTGTAATAAGATGCTATGTCTTTTCGTCGACAGAATATAGCACAGGCCATCCATGGTCTTTCGGGCTCGTGCAGTGCCTGCAATCCACTACTTTTAGCGTCCAATTCTGGCAATTTTTTACTGAATTCTCCACATTTTAGTGTCGCGAACTCATTTATGTTTTTACGTTTTTTGTTGCATAGATTTTCATCTCTACAAAGGATGATATCGAAATGTAATCCCTGGCAATCAATTTCTGTGTTTTTTGGTATTGATGTATTGCAAAATCGTTGTCTTATTTGAACACCGGTAGACTTCAATAGACATCCACTTTTGCAAGGTTCTGTTTTCCACTCACTCCATCCACCTGGTTCAATAGAAGGATTATTTAAACCGGGATAAATTTGTAAGATATTTTTACATTCACCACCGCGACACTCTTTTCCTGGTGCGCAATAAGTTCCATCTAGAGCTGGTCCAGCGAAATAATAACCGTTTCTATGAGGAGTTTTACATTGTAAAGATTCGCAAGCTTTATAGAATGTGACCACCATGGCATCCTTGTCTCGGAGAAACATTTCACATTGTTTTTTAGCGGTCCATTCTCTTCCTGGGAGATTAAAGAACTTTGTATGATCTAGTCGATTATTCATCGAAGAATGAATTGATTTATCTCTGAGGCAAGATTTTGTATATGGAAGCTTTTGTGCTATTTCCCGACTACATTCTGACCAAATAGTCTCTCCATTAATACCTCTGCTGGGAGACATTATGTAGCCATCTTTTGGACATTTGTTTCCCGTTGAATCATGATGCATTCCTAAACTTTTTAGAAAAAAGTTTTTATTAGTTAATGAATTAAGATTTATGAAGAAAAAGTAATTTAATCCTTTGCATTCGAAGTTGAGTTATATACAAGTTGTTGCAGCGTTGTTGCATTATATTGAATATATAAATTGATCGCAAAGAGTTAACTCATTTTACTTAAAATATTAATTAATTAATATTAAACTTACTTATGTCCCATTTCATGCGCAGCTACATAAATAGATGTGAAACCAGCTGATGGAAAAGGTTTCCCAAATTGATTCGTTACGCCTAATTCAGCAATAACACAAGAATATTCTTCGATACATAATCCATTTACAATAGCTAATCCCATAGTAGCACTATTTTTTTGTCCACCTTCCATAACATAAAAATCCAAACCAGAAACATATAATCCCATATCCCAATGATTAGGATTAAATTCATTCGCGGGATTATTCTTTTTAGCATAATTGCAAAAAGAATCCAATAATTTTCCTCGTTCCCCATCATGATGCGGTAAATCTTCAGGCTGCTTTTGCATAATTTCGAGTCTAACAAGAGAAATATCGATTGCAATTCCTAAACTTGGATGATGATAAACCGCTTGTATTCCATTTATATAAGCTAGTAACATATCAAGAATTTTCTCGTCGTTTCTATCAAAAAAAGGTGAAAAAAGATTATAACCAGTCTCGTCAAAGAACAGTGCTAATTCCAATGTTAAAGCATCGTTCTTGTAATTTTTGTAAATATTTTCAAGTGGTTCTCCGTTCTGATTTCCTTCTTTTTTCCTTAAGTGATCATAAACCGGAATGTAATATTTCAGTTCATCTTTGAAAAACATAAAAGGACCATAAGTTCTTTTGACGATATGAGGCTGTCTCAACGTTTCTGAACGTCGTTTAATATTATCGAAAAACAAGATTTCCTGACTTTGAAGAGGTATGATTTCTAATGTAATATTCTTCAGAAAAACTAGACCATACTGTGATGAAAAATAAACTATTTTATGAAACATCTTTCTTTTTTATATTTTTAGATTCTGATACTGACCATTCCATGTTCTCCGCAAAGACTTATTGCTGCCGAACTAAGATTATCTTTATGAAGATAATGACACAATATTGGTTTATTAAGTTCCGGTAGTTCTTCCAGAGTATCTGCATCACTATGCTTCCAAACTTGAAATTGAGGTGCTATAATTTTACCGTTTTTATGTAATGTTAATTCAATCGAATGATCAAAAGCTTTGAAATTTAGAGGTACCTGTAATGAGTTAATTAAATGATCTATCGCATAATGAAGATTTTATGAAAAAGTAAGTAATAATATATATTTAATGATGATCATAATATGTACTTTTAAAATTTCATAATTTTTCATTATTATGAGAATAATTTAGCACTGTATAATGTAAAACTATATATATATGATTTGAGATATGCATATTGAATCTATTTTGTAATTTATATATATATATATATATATATATTGCAATGAATAACTACCTCTGATCTATCTTCCGCATTCCACAATGGTAATAAAATAATTTCAATGTCCTGCGTGTTTTGACCGTATACTAAATGAAATAAAAGTAACAAAACAGTTTTTAATATTAAAGCCATAACGCGCGTTATGAATTTCAAGTTCAAGTATTTACAAGAATGACAAATTTGTTCTTATATATGCGTATGGATGCAAGTTATGAAACCCGTATATTGTTTATCTTTTGCAAAAATATATATAAAATACGAAATGTATGCTGGCACCTCTATTGCAAATGTCATTGACACTGAAATTTGAATGAATTATATAATAATAGCAGTAATTCTATGTTAACGTGCATAGGAAACGGAATTCATAGGATATGTTTTTTTTTTTTTTTTTTTTTACCACAAATCCCGTATTCTATACAATTTATAGTGTACAGTAGATAATAGTATAAAATATATATTTTTTTCCTTTAATAAACATGATAACAGCATTATCAATGGAACGATTAAAGATTTAATAAATTAAGATAAAAATGTGGTATATTTCAATGCATTGATTACTCGATGTACAAAACAGATACTGTATGAAATATAATCTGTTCAGGTAGAACTTTGTACTTTGTTGCATTATATCTACAGATACTGTTTACATCTCGGTTCTATAAAATCGTATTATGATCATTTCTGGTATATATATACATATATATATATATATATATGTATATACATATACCTATATTTCAACCATTGTTCGCTCACGCAGCAAATCAATGTATTATCCTAACAAACGTACTAGCACTTCCTTTCGTTTACAACAAAAGTATATTATTGCATAGATAATGATTAACATAATCAGGCAATTTTGTAATAAATTTCTTCAATTGATGATATACGCTTAAAAATTTATCTACCTTTCTATGTTATTTTTCTCTCTTATTTCTTCTTCTCGGCGCTGAAGAGATCGAGCAAATAAAATGATAACAATACAACAATATCAATATTTTTCATTATACCACGATTTGCAAGATTCATTTTTTTTATTTTTTTACTATATGATAAATCACGCAAATGGAAGGTAGGAATGAAAGAGAAAATATGCTTGTTACAAAAACCTTAGTATTAAAATATTTCAATAAAAAACAATAAATAATAATCATGATCAATAATAAAATTAATAGAAGTTTCGGCAGTGTATATAACATGCTAAACTTGGCAGGTGCCTACATCATTATTTAATTATATCATATTAATGTATAAGGGGATTATTAAATAATTTGATAACTAATTACAATCAAGTACGGCGAGCGATCGATTTTTTCTGGCTCTTTTCTTTTTTCTTTTTTTACATTTCAATCCATGAAATTCACTTGGTTGTTTCTCTTACTCGCTCATTCCCCTTTCTCTCTCTCTCTCTCTCTCTCTCTCTCTCTCTCTCTCTCTCTCTCTCTCTTTCTCTCTCTTTCGCTCTTGCTCTCACTCTCTTTCTCTCTACAAATCTTTTGCGCTATATTTAGGACACAATGACTAAAAAATCTTTTATACAACGTAGATGCGTCTATTTTTTTAAAAAGTGCGTCGCATCATATTTACAAATCGAATCTCATATCAATGAGATTATTTCAAGTCATCAAACCCTGCTGGGAAAAATTGTCTATTTAACTCTCGTAGAGAGATTGTTCTTTGGATTATTTTGCACAATCTTACAAATCAGTGGGTAAATTTGTGCCAGAAAAAGAAACAAAAACAGAAAAAGGAAAAATGAATTAAATTTAATTTCTGGTTAGTGAAATGACTATTCTTTGCTATCTGTTGTCATATTTCATTTATGAACAACAGTGAACACTTCGATACTGCATCCTCAAGAAACAATCAGGGGATACAGAGCCGCGTATAAAATATGCAGCGAATATTTGCTACGAACACACATAGGTTTTGGTAGCTTTTTTCTTTCCAATTTGTCAGCTAGTTATGTTAGCTTCAACGTTCACATATAGTACATTTTTTACACAGCACTTTCATTTGCTTTACTACATTTTACATATAATGGTCGTGTACTATAGACGCGTCCATTTATAAATTTTTAATATTTCCTCCTTTTTTTTTTTCTTTTTTTTTCACGGAATATAATCTCTATGGTATTAGCATATATTTATGAAGGCAAACACATTTTTATCGTATGTCAAATTGACAATGATATATCAAATCGACAATGATTATATTTTAAAATGTTTTCTTTTTCTTTTAGCAAAAATGATAATATTCAGTTTAAATACTCACCAGTGAGTATTATTATTAATTAGCAATATTTTTCATGTTTCTCTGACCTTCATATCTATATGCGTGTATATAGGTTCATATCTATATATGGCTAAATATTAGATTTTTGATCGAAATATAACATTTCGAAAAAATTTCACAGTACATTTTTGATCGAAATATAACATTTCGAAAAAATTTCATAATACATTTTGAATCGAAATATAATATTTCGAATAAATTTCACAGTACATTTAGCCTCATAATGAAGATATCTATTAAATAAATATATTTATATGTAATGAAACATATGAAAGCAAAAACAAATTAGAGAGCCCTTAGCTCGAATGTCGCTTCTTTTTTAATACAAAAAAGAAGAAAAAAAACGAAAAAGAAAAAAAGTCGTAACTCTAATTGAGAATCGTGCTTTATAGAATTATTTACTATAAAGATATCTAATGTACTAACATTGTACATGAAATAATTAAGGATTCACTGCAAAAAGCAGAAGGAAAAGAAATAATATTTCTATTATGAAAAATATATTCAATAGAATTACATTTATCTGAATGTATTAAAAGATAAACAATTCATGTAATTAGAATTCATATAGTAGGAGATTATTGACTCTCCTCATTACCTACGATTTAAATCAAATAATAATTCATCTTTAAATAAATAGATTCAATAAAACTTTAGTTAATTAGACGCTAAAAATTTCATTAATAGAGTTCAGATAAATAGAATTCTACTGTCTCGCAACCAAGGAAATACGGACTATGTCCAATTCAATTACTGCGAACCTAATAATCATAAAAAAAATTAAAAGCTTAATATACTTGCTTTTTTTTAGATAGGATGTATAAAAAGTTGATTAAGATTGTTCGTCATTCGAAGGCCACTGTCCTGAATGATTCCAATCCCAATCCTTGCCTTTAGGACGAAACTTACTGGTACTACCAGAATTATTCCAATCTCTATGAAAAAACTTTTTCTTAAAATGATGTCGTTCCGGATCCAGTTGACGTTGATATTTTAGAGGCACTGAAGATGTGCTACTATTACTGCTGCTGTTACTGCTCGTACTACCATTGGAGGGATTGGGTGGACGAGGACTAGTCGGTGAAGGTGTACGAGGAGGTCCTAATGCTTCGTCCGGTGATGGAATTACTGGTGGAGGTCCTGTCACAGTGCTATCAGATCCTAAACCACTATCAGGACTCGTATTTACTCCCTCTGTCGACCTTCTTCGCTTATCTAATTCTGTAGACGCGAACGCAACCAGTCTATCAAATCCAGAACTGATACGATCTTGCCAATCTGCCTCTCCATCTGCAAAATGAGTTCTATTTATTTACTACACTGTTTAATATATCTAAGACGATAAAATATTTTTTCATAAAAATAAGCCAATAACCCTTTTTAATAAAAATATAATTATATTATAAAATTATTATAATTATAATATAAAAGTATATTTGTTTTTTTGTAATTGTTACTTTATCATTTTTTATATCCATGTAGGTGTTATATTATGAATTGTATAATGATTTTATTCGTAAAATAATAAAGTATTATCTGTATCGTGTATCGTAATAGTGAATATTATTTGAAAGAAAATATAAAAAGTTATACATTTGAAATATAGTTAGAAGATAGATACTATATACTAGATATTATAGAAGATATAATAGATATACTAGAAGATAGATACCATATCATAAGATAGATATTATAATGAAAATTGAAATCTATAAATATTTATTACATAATCAATAAATGAAATTTATTCATAAAATAGAATATTTTTTTATTATATATTATATAAATATATCATTTCTTAGAAAATAAAAATATGTATTATATATACATATATGTGTCATGTACAGTACCTTATAACATCCACTTCATTTTTTCTTCTATAACTTATATAACTACTCAATGAAAAAAACACTAAATTAATAGCATTTTATAAATTATTCTATCATGCAGAAAAACATGCACCAAAATTACAAAAACCCACTGACTAAGAATATAGTATTTTCATATAAATCTAACATGCTTTATCTGTTCTTAAGTTTCTAAATGCATAAGTAGGCTGCAAATTGTAAAATAATCTCTATCATTCATTTTCTTTTTTTTTCTTTTTTTAATTTCTTGAGTCTGGCTTATTTTCATGGAAAATGTATTATATTACACACAAATATTTAATATATATAATATAAATTAATATATCATTTACAAATATAAAGCTAAGAATCTAAATTTGTTTTATCGAATGGCTGTAATAATGATAATAAAGAAAGAATTTTGAACAACCCCTGTAGGATAACTCACCAGCAACCACGAACCAACCCACAGGCAGCCATACTTTTTGATTTCTCCCTCTGAATGTGTCTCAATCTCTAACAAAACAAGCTTCAAGGGTTGTGAGTGAGATTGAGTATGTGACAGACAGATCTAACCAACAAACAGCTACAGTGCATCTAACAAATACAGCAAACAACAACAAAAATAAATATAAATAAAGATCAAATACCAGCTCCATAAGATAAAGTAAACCATAGACAATGATCTTAAACCATTAGTGCATAAAAAAACTAATATGCATAGCAGAAATTAATATAATAGTGTTTTGAAAAAAGATAAAGCAGAGTGTTACAAGTTTTATATAAAAATATAAAATCTATTTATGAATAGACTAAATAAATCATACATCTTAATAATAAAATCAAATAAAATATAAAAATATAAAATATAAATATTTTTTAGATTTTCTCCATTCTGTTGGGTTGGTAATTTATATTATTAAATATGGTTGCATTATAAAAATTAATTGATTTCATTAATAAATATAATATTGCAAAAAATTTGATATTTAATTTCTATTGAAACTATTGAAATTATTAAACATTTATTAATATATTCATTTTTTTTACAGCCAGTGTAAAAAGCATATTTTAAAATTTGAATATATACATTCCAAAGCATTTTCTACTCTAATTTCTATAGAATGCATAATAGAGAAGATAAAATAAAAATATAGAATATTCTGCTTACCGTCATCGCCAATACCATTTCGTTGTCTCTGTGTTGTCATTTGAGGTTCATCAACTAGTGGTGTAGATGTATTAGAATGTGGTTCTACAAGAGGACTTAATGGCGCTCCACTTGTGCTTACTGATGACACGACTGCCTCTGTTTTTACTGACATTGAAGATTGTGATTGACAAATGGCTGTCACCATACCATTTGTTGTTGCACTGCCATTATTGTTGCTACTTGTTGCATATCGAGGATATGGTTGAAATCTACAAAATAGATATGTGTTAAATGATTTTTTTCACCATAGAAAAAATGAGAATGTAAATAAAATTTTAATACCTTCTATTTGTAGTCAGCATTGATTCAGTTTTAGTATTGTGATTATTTAATATACGAGCATGTAAAGATGCAGCTAATCCTTCTACTGGCAAAAGCTCTCCATTTGATGTAGTCTGTGATGAATGTAATGATGGTGGAGGATGACTCTGTGTAAGTGATTGAGAAGGATTGTCAGAGAAATATGATTCATGATAAGGTTTTATGTCTGCACGAGGTAATTGAACTGGTGTATATCTAAATAAAGAATATAATAAATGAATTATAAAATTAAATTATTAAAAATAACTTTTACATAATAGTATAATTTAATACCTTTGTGGTTGTGTTACTGGTGTAAATAATACAGATGATCTTGAAGTGGTAGTAGGAGTGCATGTTGAAACTGCAGAACAAGTTGGAGCATAACTAGCTACATGAGCAAGAGTTGATAAACCAGCATCACCTTCTGCACTAGCTGGTCTACTAATAGGAGAATATACAGTTTCTGGCCTTATCATTGCACTCATATCGACAGCTGCATTTATTATAGATTGATTTGATATTTCTAATGTTCTTTCTATTTCTCCACTGACTAAATCACCTATTGTTCTAGTACCGAGCAGTCCATTTCCTCCTGTTACAATACGATTATCATGACTTGACTGCCTCGAATCAATTGTTGGTCTGTCAGGTGGTGTTAAATGAGAAGAAAGACGTTCTTGAGAGAGATGACGGCGAAGTGCTAATTTCGCAGGTGAAACCTAAAAAAAAAGTGATTTAAATTGTAAGTATTCATATATCAAATTATAAAATTACTGCAAAAAATTTTTATTACCTGTGTATAATCAGGAGTAGAAACATTTTGTGGTAATGTAATACGTTTCCTATCTTGCTCAGTCTGATTTTGTAATTGCACCTGTAGTTGCATTTGTTGTTGCTTATTTCTATTTTGTTGATCTTCATTTAGAACACTTGTAATAATACTTTTTAATCTATCTTCAAAATTTGCAACTCTAGGAGGTTCCTGAGTTCTATTTGTTGTTTCTTTATTATTTATTTGTGAGGATGAAATAGATGATGTAGTAGAAAAACTGAGAGATGCTTGTGGCAGTCTGGTTCTAGAATTATTACTTGTATTAGTATTTTGTCTGCTTAATATTCGACCAGCTTCTATTTGTCTGCCAGTTTCTAAAATTTTTTGCGCCAATATTTCTGGATTATTTTCTTGTATTTTTCCAATATCAGGAACGTCAGGCCATTCTTGCGATCTAGAACGTCCTTCTCTATTTTTTCGTGATGATCCGCTTTTTCCATTTTGCTGCTGATGATGTTGATTTTGTGAATGTTTAGAACTTGCCTCTCTTTGTTGTTGAGCTATTGCAGCAACCTGTTTTTCATTACTTGCTCTTTCCAACACATTTAATTCATGTTCCAATTTGGACACCTATGAATTTATTAGAATTCAATTTATTTAAATATTCTTTAAATATTTGTTTAATAATTATTATAATATAATGAAAAAATATTCTACTAACTTGGCAATGTAATCTTTTACGTTGAGACAAAGTTGCGGAAATTTCTTTCAATATGTAATCCTGAGTAAGTGGTTGTGGTGGATTTGATATGCCATTCGTATTTGTAAGACTGTTATATTTCTCTTGTAATTCTTGATGTCTAAGTGCAGTTAATCTTGATTGTTCACTTTCCATAGATGCAACTTGAGCTTGCAGCTTACTTGCTTTAGCTTGCAATTGTTTATGTCTAAGAACTATCTCTTTAGCTTTTGCAAGTAAATCTCCAGGTGATGTTGCATTTATACCTAACTCAGTCATTCTTGCTTTTAAAAGTGCTACACTATCATCAATTAATACTTTTATTTGTTTTTCTAATTGCGCCGCTCTTGATTGCAATTTTGAATTTCTTTCTCTTTCTTTCGCAATATCTGTATTGACTGATACTCTGTATGAAGGAGTTCTCATTGATTCTAACATGAGCATGAATTGGTCCCTATATAAAAAAATATATTAGTTAAGAGAAATTTGTATAAAAATACGCATATATATTTTACAAAAAACAAATCTACCTGTACAAGTCCAAAAGTATTTGTAATGCATATGGAGTGGCGGACGGAGCAGGTGGTATACTAAGTTCTTCGTGTACAGAGGTGGAATGTGATTGTAATGAAAGTGATAATGAAGACAATTGTTGATCTACACAACCAGGCGCAGGCGGTGGTTTCTTTCCCAGAGCTTGTGGAGATGTACTAAGTAATGTTTGACTATGTAATAAATCCAGACCAGAAATATTAATTGCTTTCTTAGGTTTCGATTTCTTCACGCCTCTTCCTCTTTGTCTGCCTCTAGCTGGAGGTCTTGTTATACCATTAGATTTTCTATTTAACTTTCTACGAATCTTATTTGGTTGCCGACGATTTTTAATATTATTCTCATCTATATCTGAATCACTATTCGTTCCTTGTTGTTCTGAATGATTTGGGCTTTCTAACTGTCTTGAAAGATCTCGTTTAGCTCTGTCACCTCTCTCATTTCTATTTGTAATCTTATTAGTACTGCTGGCAGTGTTATTTATCACAGAATCAGAATTTTCATCGCCACCTTGTTTATTGTTCTTTAAGCGGTGGAAATAACGTTCTAACTTAGTACGATCAATTACATGTAGATAATAAGACACTGGTTTACCAGTCCACGAGACAGAACCTTTCAGCGGTGACATTTCCGAGACATGCATTATTGTGCCAATATCTATAAATAAAAATGTTTTTAAATAATTTTATTATATATTTCTTAGCTTTTTAAAAATATAATACATTACCACTGAGATTTCTATCCGTTATACGAAAATTAAGAGGGCAAAATGATTTTGATGATACAATGCGCGCACCATCCCGTAAATCAGCAAATCGTTCTTTTAATTGATGATCCACCGTTGGACCGAATGCAAAATTATTGACAAATACTATTGTAGCTCCGGTAATGCTTTCACGATGTTCATCAGCTAAAAAATCGCCTTTTACCAAACGGTATTCGCCGCATCTTTTTCCATACCAATTCAACCATTTACGAAAGTTTATTTCCATACTCTAATATTTGACAAAAATAACTTGACTAATAGACTTGTACATATAAGAATTTATTATTAATAAAAAAATATAATATTTTTAAAATCTGATAAAAAAATAATATACCTGTGCATATCTTGATGGTACATCAGCTCTTTCAACACCAATACAAATTTTACATAAGGTAGCTGCAGCCATTTGTAGAACTACTTGACCAACTCCAGATCCCAAATCAACAAATACATCATCTTCTGTTACATCAATCTGATCAATCATTTGACATACTAATTCATAACTTGTTTCTCCATAAACTTCTGGTGAAAAAGGTTCATATTGATTTAATTTATCTGGTTCCACTACTGCTTGATTATATGTTTGTTGAAGTATATGTTTTAATAAACCTCGACTAGGTCTTTTATTTAACCTTTGTGATGGTAAACTAGTGCCTTTCTCCTATATTAAATTATTTTAATTAGAATAAAGATTAACAAAAGAATTATGAACTTAGGTAAATACAATTAATTTTTCTACTTACCAACTGAACTAAACTATCAATTGCTCTATTAAATCTGTCACATAAATTTTTCATACTTTCATAATCTCTTGTGTCATAATCACATAAAATATTATTTTCTAATGGTAGTTTTAAATCTGGCAAATCCTCACAAACCCATCTCATTGTTTCAACAACATCAAGTGCACCATCGTGACGATCCTATAATAAATAAATAAAACCTATTTATTTATATAAATATATATAAAACTCATTTTGAATAAATCAAATAATTCTATTTTATCTATTCTCTTTTTAAATTATTTAATAATTTAATAATTTAATAATTTAATATTTTAAATCAATAGTAAAAATATTTACATATATGAGATATATAAAATTACAATTTAAAAAAAAACATATAATAAACAAAAGATAAATTAGAAATAAAAATTTACAAAATAAAAAAATTTTCTATTTCTTGAATTTTCTTATTATCATAATCAATATATTTGTACATTTATGGTTATGATTATAAAAAAAAATTTATTAAATTTATTTTCATACATCAAGAAATATTTCTATAAATTTAAATCAATAACAATTTTTATAAAATTAAAATAATTATTTTATATAAGAAACATTTCTAATTCAATATAAAAATAATATAATTTATATATATATTATATTATAAAAATGTCTCATTAATATATAAAAATAAAATAAAATAAAATAAAAATAAATAATTGAAAAAATGATTATGAGCAAAATTCAAGAAATAAAAAAATTATTCAAAAAAAAATTATTTTGAGAAAATTTTTTTTATATGCACATATATTGTAGTATATATAATTAAAGATAATGCATATGGAAATAGTTATTAATAATTATTTGATATAAAAAACTTACGAATTCAAAAGATTTTATGATTCTGAAGTAAAATAAACATGATATTATAACAAAATAATAGTAGGAAAAATTCTCATCGTGTGATACATGTACGATCAGCTGTGAGGATGAGGGATAACGACAGGTTACATAGTTTTTTATATATTTCCTACATATATATATTTTTTTATATAGAATATTATTAAATGCGCAATTAATAAAATTTACTCACAGATCCGGATCCAGAAGTAAGGGGCCATTGATAGACGATCGGTTCTGCTCCGGCTGGCGAGTGCAGGCGCAGCTCCATTTTAGCAGGGCCGTCGTCTTCGTCCCCGTCGTCGTCCCCGTCCACTTCTTTAGTAAATCGTTTCTTTCGAAAGCCCAGCTCAGGATCGTGTGACGTAATCACTTGGATTAACCGTTCGGTGGAGGATCGTGATCGCTCGTCCTCCCCGCACTAGGACACTACCACCACGTAGACGACGCTCGCGGACCCCCCCGCTCCGCGGTTACTTCCCCGGACATGAAAAGAGACGAAAGGCCACCTTCAGCGACCGTCAATCCACAGAGACAAGCGTTAGCCTTAAAGGCAAGCATCCAATTTCGACACGACAATGGGGAGGGCCAATGGAATATGCCAAAACCGCCACCAGGAACACGGAACACGAGGCGCACAACAGAAAAACACTGACAGACTATTGTGCTGCTCAAGAAACAGCGGTTTGGGGGGGGATGACGACATCAAAACATGGCGTCATGCCTCTTCCTTCTACCGTATCGTGCTCGTGCGGCAGCACATCCGGGTGTTCCGCGCCAACTTGTTGTATTGCGCATGCGCGTCGGGAACCGTTGAACTTTCGACCGCGGATACAATTTTCTTGTTGTGTTATTAGTTTATATTTTTTAAATGTTACTTTATTTATTATTTTCAAAAGAAATAGATTTATTAAAAATTTTTGATGAATAATGAAATTAAAATCACGAGAGAAAATTATTTTTAGTATTATATTTTAATGATAATAATTTTGTAACATATTTATGCTTATAAAAATTTCTTTTATTAACAAATTGGAATATTAAAACATATATAATATTTATAATTTATTTTTTAATATCGAATATTGTTTCATTTTAAATAAAAAGTTATTTTATTATTACATATTATGACATATATATATATATATATATATATATATATATGTATGTATGTATGTATATATATATATATATGTGTATATATATGTAGAAAAGCGAAAGTTACGATATCGATATTTCTAGAAGTGCAATTACATTTACGGAATGACCTATTGGCAGAACATGGTATTTGTCACGTAGGCAGTTGCATTCAAGAATCAGCGCCTCTGTAGATAATATATAGAACTTAGTTCTACTATTTAAAGTCATCTTGTTATAGTTAATAAAAATGCTATATAACACATTGAAAATATATTTAATAGAACATATCATGAAGTTAAAATTGAAGATTATTATTTTTTAAAATATTAAGAAAAAAATACTTAATATTTCATATATTTTATGTGAAAATATCGGATGTTATTTTAATGCACCTTACGGCATTTATGTGAACTAAAAAGTACAGTTACCACTGAATGACGTGTTACACTTATTTCTTGAATGTAAATTGTAAATATATTAAAAAAGAGAATAGTTTAATTAGGTAACATAAAAAACGTGTAGTCATGATGGATGAACTGAAATTAGATCACCGTGCTAAAAAGAGGATCAAAGAGGTTAAAAGGAAAGCTAGACCAGGTAAACATGTCATAACCTAATTTATAACCTATACGTTGACGTGATATGGGCGTAAATTATTTTTAACAAACAATTGTTCTTCACGAATTATTTTATATTACTAGTATGACTAGAAGTAATTGAGACAACGTTTGTCTTCTTGTGACGCTCGTCGTTATAAACAGAATTTGGATATGTGATACAAGACCGAACTATCTTTGCCGACCTTGGATGATGTAACTCCAAATTTACTGAAAGTATTACGATAACAATATAATACAATGCACTTATACGTAAATAACTTACCGTTTCAATTGTTGTATAAGCATTAAATATTCTTTATTATATAGTATCAGTAATACATACAAATGCTAATAAACCTTCATTATTTATAATGTAATCTATTATTTTTATATTATTAAAATGTCCTATTTTTTTAAATCATTTTTTTTCTTTCCTATACAAAAGTCAAATATTTCTTCTAGAACTTGGTGATAAGGCAGCTTGGATCCAACATGGCTACAGCAAGAAATTTGAATCTTTTTGGAATTTTACGGACAATGTGGATCGTATTGATGAATCCAAAGTATCTACAGAGGAATTTATAGAAAAATATGAGAAACCTTACAAGCCTGTGATAATACAAGGTGTTCAAAATGGTTGGAAAGCCCAATATAAATGGACTATAGAGGTATATATTTATTAAATTATTTTGTTTCTTATTTAGAAAATATATTTAATATACTTAATATTAATATTATCTTTTTCTAATAATTTTTTTTTTAATATAGAGATTAGTAAAAAAATATAGAAATCAAAAATTTAAATGTGGCGAAGACAATGAAGGATATAGTGTAAAAATGAAAATGAAATATTATGTACGCTATATGCTTAATAATGAAGATGATTCGCCTTTGTACATCTTTGATAGTTCCTTTGGTGAACATCCTAGACGAAAAAAATTATTAGAAGATTATGTTATTCCTAAATATTTTCGTGACGATCTTTTTCAATATGCGGGTGAACATCGAAGACCACCATATCGCTGGTTCGTTATGGGACCTGCAAGATCTGGTAAATATTTTTCTTTTATATTCAAAAAAAATTCAAAAATTATTAAATACTTAAAAAAATATGCATATAACTGCTTTATTTTAACAATTATTTTAAAAGTACATTATGAATAAGTAATATAAATACAGGTACAGGCATACACATAGATCCATTAGGAACAAGTGCCTGGAATGCATTAATTTCTGGACATAAACGGTGGTGTTTATTTCCTACACATACTCCAAGAGATCTTTTAAAAGTATCAGCAGCTGAAGGTGGCAAACAAAGAGATGAAGCTATTACATGGTTTTCCATTATTTATCCACGTACAAAATTGCCTACATGGCCACAAGATTGTTTGCCAATAGAGATTTTACAAAATCCTGGTGAAACTGTTTTTGTTCCTGGTGGTTGGTGGCATGTTGTTTTAAATCTTGATGAAACTATAGCGGTTACTCAAAATTTTTGTTCGCGTACAAATTTTCCAGTAGTATGGCATAAAACGGTAAAAATATATTTGTTATGCATATTACATATATATATGTTTTTATATTTTAATAATATTATTGTAGGTGAGAGGAAGACCAAAATTATCACGCAAATGGTTAAAAGTACTCAGGGATAAAGAACCAGAATTAGCAGCGCTTGCTGAAACAATAGACGTAAAAGAAGATACAGGCGTTGCTAGTGATTCTTCGAGCGGTTCGTCAAGCAGTTCTTCAAGTAGTAGTAGTAGTAGTCAATCAGAAGAAAGTGCAGATGATAGTGGCCAAGAATCATTAACAACACATAAGAAGAAGAAGAGGTATAAATTTATTTTATATGTATTTTTTACCAAAAAAAAGTATATTTAATATTATTATTAATCCATTTATTTTTTAAATTACAAGTATAATTAGATATAATACTGTTCCAAATTTTTAGAAGAAAACTAAATAACAGCCAACCCTGACAATATCAAGCATTTGGGACCTACAAAAACCTCAGACTGTACAGTATTAATCAACAATTATTGTTTGTACTAAGAGTAAATATTATAATTATTACCACCTTTATGTTCATAATAAAATAAATGCTAGATAATACCAAACTTGTCCTTATTAAATAAATTTGTTTAATTCTTATACTTAATTCGCGATAATGCACTTAATTTTTGCTAAATCAATTTTTTTTTTTATATTAAGTCTTTGGATTTCATATTTCTATGTACTATAGAAATGTTTTGTTATTTAAAAATTACATTTATAAATTGTATATCTATTAAATGCTCATATCCATTAAGGCAGTACACGCGTAACTTAAATTAAACAATATTTAAAATATATATTAAAAAAATTAGTAGGCAATAAGTCAGATGCATTATCATTATAAATTCTCGCATTAATTATCTGCAACATTATAAATTAATTAAAACAAATTAACAAATAAATCAATATATCAAAATAATCAATAAATAAAAACGTGTAGTTTTTTGTATTATACAAAATAAATATAACACTTTCAATAAGTGCATATATTAGCTTTTTAATGAGTTGCTTCTCTGGAAAGTTCTTGCATCTCTCTTATAGTAGCTCCATAGCCTCACCGTTCCATCACTTCATGTTGGTGACCATGCAAAGCACCAAATTGGAGTGTAAACAACATAGAAGCAAAGTAATAAAAAATTAAATTAAATTTTTATATTCATCAACTTACAAGTTAATGATTATAACAAAGTATTATTTTTTACTACATTCATTCAAATGTTTTACATAGAATACATTCATAACAGCACTCACGCTATTAGTGATAAATTTTCACTAAAAATTTGCATAAATATTTTCAAAAAGCAATACTGGTACATAGCTTTGATAAATACAAATGCGGATTAATCAAGAAATATGAATCTTAAAAAAAAAATTATTATTATGCTCAACAAATCTAATGTATAATAACATGTATAATAATATCAATAAATAATTCGAAATTTAAGGCGCATTGAATTACATTTGAATATATAATCACATATCAAAGCATTTAAAGCAAAAAATAAAGTTATTATGATTTCATAATTTCATATCCTTTCATTATATTGAACATATATAATATTATATATATTATATTTCGAAAATACTATAAATGTATAAATATTAACCAATGAAATTAATGGCATGTATTTATAATAAACATGTCCACACATTTTTATAAAATAGCAAAATGTGTTTGGACAAGCATGCACATTACCACATTAACAATTTATAAATGCAAAAAAATATTATGCAACAAAACAAAAAAATAAGTTAAAGGGAAACTGTGGAAATAGACATGGAAAAGGAGGAATCAGGAATACGCCACAGCTTCACCTCTCCAGAGCTGCAATCAACATTTAAGATGTTATTCTATTCAAAAAAAAAAAAAAATATAAATACTGAACCCGAGCAGATATTTTAATTTATATGTATATATTCATATATAATTAAAATATAAATATATTTTTAATATAATAATATATATATATATACATATATATTCAAATAAAATATATATATTCAAATTTAAAATAATACACATTTCTGCATTGTAATTATTTATATTATATTTCCAATATGCTTCGGGTCAGTTTAATGTAAACGATAATACAAAAAAATATACTTACTTGCTTGCAGTAAAAACATGTTGCTGATTAGTTATTACAGCATTGATAGCAGTATTATGTGCTTTAACTTCTCCTATTGGAATACATTCTGCTTGATCCTTTGGTATAGACCAAGCCTTTAAAACTCCTCCTCGACATCCTGATATCATTACAGATCCATTATTAATCATACATAAACCCAAGATCCAATCTTTATGAGCATTATTCAGTGACTGCACTAGTTCCATTCTGCTTAGATCCCATCGTTTAATACACATATCCCTTGAACCTAGAAAAGAATTCATCATTGGAAGAGTTTATTAAGTTTTAAAAATATTTCAAGTGCATATTAAGAATCAATATTAGAAACGATTTGTAAATATACCAGAAAATAATGTTAAATCGCATGTTGTCAAACACTGAACGCCATCATAATGTGGTGGTGCTAAACTGACTGATTGTCCGGATGCATTTGCTTCAACAAGAGATATTAGATGATCTTTACTGCCTGTTATTACTCTACCATCATCTGCG